TTTCATCTACAGCTCCTACATTGGACAGCTGATGGTGTTAAAAGTCATGGGAGGCGATCTCTTTGCTGACACCTTAATTTATCTCTCTACTCCTTAGGCCACCTCTGCAATGCCCTTGCACATCTTTAAACTACTAACCGACATGTCAGTATGGATGTCGCACTCCTTACAATTCAACCTAACCAAAACTGAGGTCATAATATTTCAGACTACAGTCTGAGGAAGACATACAAAACTAAAAGACTTCTGGTGCCCTCCCATCTATGTATGTGAGAACTGAACACTTACTAAGCTTTGCTGGGTGTTTTTGCTTCATTAGCGCTGATGATGAAGAGCGGGAAGAGGATGGAGAATAGACAGCCACTGCAAGAGAACAAGACAGTTTCAGTCATTGGGCAAAAAACAAATCCTAAGCAAGGCTGCACGGCTGGCTTTCCTTCAAAAATAAATGGGGCTCAAATATCAATATGTGATCATCATAATGTTGTGGAGAATGACTACTATTGCTGGAGCAGTACATGGCTATCATTCTGGAACACCTAGTTTGGATTTCTATCAAGTCTAACTATTTGCAGTATACTAAAGTGTATTCCGATATCCCCAGAAGCAAGGCATTATTACATATCATACAGCTTGAAAAGTAATCCATTAGCGAGGCAAGCTTTTAAATCACTCAGAATCTATCAGAATTATCTTCCTACTTAAGTGGACCTTCCACGCCAAACAGAAGAAGGTCTGCTTTTTGGCAACCCCTCTGCAATATATATTTTGTATCTGGATTCCCTCTAATTAACACTGCCAATTGCAGAATAGAAACTAGAAGCAAACTAAGGTACTATCCCTTGCTCTTGGCCAGCAGCATTTATCTACTCCACAGCAGTGTGGCCCTGTAAAGTGGATGCAGAGGAGCAATGTACAGCCATAGACATTAATGATTATCCTAAGTATAAGCACAAAGCAAGAGACCTGAAGGCCATTTTGGCCTTGCTGGCTGAGCAGCCACAGCCAGAATGCACACAAACACTGCCCAGAGACAGACAGGTCATGACAGCAGGAAAAGTGCATCGGAGGTCTGGGTTATGAATGACAACTGGATTAAGAGGGAGGGTGGCTGCTAGATACAAAGTTTATATTAATACGTACAATTGCTATTTGAGGAATGACTTACCTGATGATATAAGATGACTGCATTGCTGTTAAAGAGGCCAGGGGTAAACCGAATCCAAAGTAATAGGGCCAGTTGCGTTCGATATTGGATAACCGTTGGTGCATCTCAATTCCTACAGTAGGTATATCAAAAGGGTAATCACAAGGAATTGAAAACGAATCAAATTTGGCCTCTTTTTCTATACCAAAAGGTGTAGAAATTACCTTTATTGAACCATCGATACTCAAAACAGTATAAGGAGTAGAGCAGAGACATGTGGAGAAGACTGATGAGCTGTCCAATCACATCGATCGGGAACAGGCTGACGAACATGCCCTACAAGAGGTGCAAAGACAGGAGGGGATTTATAGGACCGTGATGTTAGATGCCACAACAGACCCCCAAACCTCTGCAAAAGAGAACAAATGTGTTAAGCCCACCCACATTTTAGACTTTAGGGAAAACCTTCACTGTACCAATGTACCCCACTTCTCTGTGCATATTAGGAAGGAATCTATATTTGAACATGAACATATAGGAAGAGGGAAATATTCTTCAAGGTCAGTAACTTAGAACATACTGAAACCACAGCCAGCCAAAAAACTAGCATTTGCAGAAGGTGGTCAGCAATGGCAACCCAACTATTTGTGTCTAGGTATGCATATGCGGTACATTTGCAGCACACCTGTACTTGCAGACCTTGCAAGTACAGAGGAATACCTGATGATCAGCCAGAAATGAACCCCTGTTGTGGGCTTACAACAAACAACATTGTTGAAGACTGAATGGTGTCAGCCCCACCCAGTTGTCTTTGGTTAAGTATTCTTCTAAACCTTCCCACTCTTCCACCTCTACAGCTCTGGTCTACACTAGTTATTGTGTGAATAGATGCAAACTGGGGGAGCTAATTAGACCCCTTGAGTTAACACAGGGAGTGTGAACAGGACCGTTCTGAATTTCTGACCTGACCAACAGGTATTATTTGTATTTAACAGATAAAACAGAACACTTTCAATAGTATATTTAACAGACCACAAAAAGTAGCAAATAACAGAAGTACATGATTGGGGTTTACATACGCCAGGTTATATGGGCTGCTGTTACAACATGGAGAGGTTCTGAACAGACGTGGGTCTCATTTCCCTGGGAATCTCCTTTATTTACACTAGTACAGGATTTCTGTCTGAAGTATTCTGAATGCTGTGTTTCTCTAAGAGGAGATGTTCACATGAATGTTAGATGTGGAAAGATCAAAATGCAAGTTAGAGGGAACCCATGTTGAGGGCAAGCTGTGTAAACTCGGGGTTGGTCCCTTGACGGACATAGTAGCACAAGTCTCCCCTCTGATTTTGTTTTTTCCTCCGACCTGTGATGCTTCCGAGAGGCACAAGTGATGTCACCGTGGCCCCCTGAAATAGCTGAGCACTTGCCATCCTGATAGGACGCACTCTTGCAATCGGCTGCGGTACATTCTCATGGAATTTAAAGATCCCAGCTCTGCAGGAAGGTATGATGACATCATCTGCACACCAAATGCAGAGCAGATCCGCTCAGGGTTGTGCCGCGTTTTTGATGCGTTCCGGACCGTTTTTGGTTAAAAAATATTTTTTTTTTTAGTTTAACATGGGCTTTCAGTGCGTTCCAGGCATTTGCATGCGTTTTTGATGCGTTTGCAGTTCCAGAGCAGGTTAAATAGGGCCCGCTGCAGTTTTTTCACCTGCTCTGGAACTGCACGCTGCGATGTGAACTGGAGCAAAAAATACCATTGGAATACATTGGACGCAGTTTTGCTCCGGTCTACAACTGCTCTGCACCTGCTCCGCGCTTGGTGTGAACAAGGCCTTAAAGTGCTTTAGGCCAGGGCAAAGGTAAATTATTTTTTTTCCCCGGGTGATCGAATACAAACAAGAATACCTGGATAAGGAAGAGAGCCTGGAGCAGGAGATTAAACAACATGTCGGCAATAATTTTACTGACGCTGGGGAAAGACTGTGCTTTTCTGCCGGACATCTCGAAGGCCAAATCCGCTATGTCCTGTGAGACAAAAAAACACACCATGAATTTCATGTGAGCAGCATCTGTAATTGGGCCTATTCTAAGATTGCGGAATTAAAATATGGCACAAAGATCTAAGATTTCAGGAGGAAATATTGCACTCTGATTAGGACACCCACCTGAAACCAGATGGCGTTCACCACTTTACTTAGGACAAAGAGTGGCAGAACCCAGAGGGCACTAAACACCGATGTGAGGATGAATTCCAACCAGGACCAGACATCTCCATGCAAGGATGGATCACCTGCAAAGACACAATATAATCAGGACCCTCCAAACTGCTAAGGAGTATATGATCTTGTGTAGTCAGCAGACAATCCATGACCCTACCATAAACATATGAGTAGCCATAGACCATACGAGCCCCGAGTACAGAGACACTGATATCCTCTAACGCAGCGGTTGCCAACCAGTGGTCCGTGGACCACTGGTGGTCCGCGAGAACATTTTGGTGGTCCCTGGGCCCCTCTGATGCCGTGCAGGCTGGGCAGTCATTGAAGCAGCATGGAGGTTCCGGGAAGAAACAAAATTGGAAGACTGAAGTGCCACTACCTGGCGCAATAAATGTGGTGGAGCAAGGTTTGTCAGAAACAATAGTAATGTACTCACCTGTGGCTAGGTGAGCACTCGCTTGTCATAACCAGAGTGAGGTGGTGGAGTAAAGCGGTGGGATCAGCCTAAATCATATTAGTGGTCTGCGGGATTTAAAATTATGAATTTAGTGGTCCATGAGGTCCAAAAGGTTGACCACCGCTGCTCTAACGTGGCTCCTATGCATATGCATCATCTAAACCCAATCACTAAAAACCTATATAGACTGTAACATGTTCAACTACCTCCGGGCCGGCCGTTGTAGAAAAACGGCCGGCCGGGAGCTCTCTAGATCTGAGCAGGCGCCTTTAAAAAAAACAGGCAGCGATGCCTGTTCACATACACGCGATCCGCCGGCTATAGAGGGAATCAGAGGGAGATTGGTACACGAGCTCCCTCCGGTCCCCTCTCCGCTGTCAGAATGCGGAAGTGATGTATATTACATCACTTCCGCATTCTTGTGTCACTCTCCAGCTTCAGAAGCTGGAAAGAAGCTGATGGAGCAGATCTCTGCTTCATCAGCTTCTTTTGGGGGGTCCTAGGTCCCCACCCATACATACACGCATGCAAACATGCGTTGGGGAGCATACCTGCGATAACGGCGATTGCGCACATTGCGCCGCACATGTTACATATCGCCGCGAACGTCGCAGTGAGAGCAATCATTTTAGGGCCATCAATCACTGATAACACTAAACTGATGAGCGGTAAAAGCTTTCAAAGCGTCGTCTAGAGGCAATTTTGGGTATGGTAGTTTTCTGCGATGTCGCGGGTGCGCGCAAGTTTAAAGCTTGACATTTTTGGTGTCTATTTACCCGACGTGACCCCGTCTTTTATCTTTTACAAAAAAACTGGGTAATATTAAATGTTTCCTAACATAATGTAGTAAAAAAATAACCTTTTTCAACATTTTCAGTAATTTTTCCTAATTATAGTAAAAAATAAAAACCCCAGTGGTGATTAAATACCACCAAAAGAAAGCTCTATCTGTCCCCAAAAAAATGGTATAAAATTAATTTCAGTACAGCGTTGCATGACGGAATAAACGTCAGCCAAAGTACTGCAGCGCTGAACACAGAAAAATGGCCTGGCCAGGAAGGGGGTCTAAACACCTGGTCTTCAAGCGGTTAATGTCATTTTAAAAATGGTTTTAAATAACCAACCTTTATTAAAAAAACAAAACCCTGGTGATACTGCCATGACGGTTCTTGTTCAGGAACTGAGGGCAGTGCAAGGGCAGCCACACTGCAACTTTTCATCTCCCAGGAATTGGGCTTTAAATGAAGCCGAAATTAATCTTAAGGAAAAGTGTCAATGGAACTTACCAATGATGCGCGCAGTGAGAGACTGCAGCAACGGGATGAACATTCGGTAGAACAAAAACAGACTCAACTGCAAAAAAAAATTCCAAGAAGTCAATGCCCACTCTACATCACACAGTCCAATCACCAAACTGCATATTCACTATAACAGAAGAGGAAACTGAACATCTATAAAGAAAAGATCTACCTACCCAGAACACGCCACCATTCCAGGCACAACACTGAAATATTCGGGTGACAATGCGCGGTTCACTGAGGAGGTAAAAGAAAATCTTTGTAATCGGTTATTACAGTAAATCCTAAAGCAGAAATAAAGGGGAAAACATTTTCTTAACAAGTTATATTCGACGGATCCTTGGAGCTGACTTGCTCTTAGACTGGTCCCTAGAGCCTCTCACCCCATCAGCTGCAGCCGTCTAAGGTCCCATGAGTCATCACACCCTATACACCGTGTATAAGACATGAGGACGCTGAGGGACATTCCATGCCAATGACCCAAGTCTACCAATACCTACTCTCCAGCTGCAATTTCATCTGTGCATTTCCCTGCTGCAGCAAGCCAATCCATGACCCTGGGGTCCTCTTTGCACTAAACAGCACACAAACGGGAATTCCTGTCCCTCTGCCAGTCATTGCAACTTGTTTGGACGACAAGGGCTGACAGGAGCCCCTGCTGAGCACAGAGGTTCCAGAGGCACATATTGGGCATGAAAGCACATTCTTTTACTTTGAATCCATCTTTGTGAAAGCGTCAAAGCCGGGGGGCGGCCTCTCTTCAGCCTTCCTGGGCCCATCCAAGACATATCTTGGTGCCTGCGCAGTGCCAGCTGGAACTACCTTTACATTAATGACGGTGAAGAAGCTCCTACTGCAAACGGGAAACCCACATGTGTGCAGCACTATTTCCAGAAAATATGTTTTATTAAGGATTTTCATTGTAAGTTTTTTTTTTTTGGAGTACAGCTCAAATGTAAAGTATATCTTTAGGAATGATCCTTGATGAATATTCACATTGGTTCAGCTTGGCTCAAATTAAAAGGAGAACTATGGGGTAAGTGTTTTCCCCCATAGTTCTCCTAAGGGTCACGGGAGGACATATACTAGCGTCCTTCGGTGACCCAAAGCTCAGTATACTGAGACCGCCGCAGCCGGGACGGATCCTGACCTTACTCTCGAGATCCACACAGCTGTGTGATTGACAGCTGGCTCTGCCTATCTGGATACCCG